CCACCACGGCTCCTTTACGCAGCTGTGCATGTCACTAGAAATAGAAGAGGTGGGAAAATGAAGGTTCGTTGAACCACCTATACTCTCCTTGAACTGTCTGCATTACTCCAGATCCTGGAATGATGCCAAGGACAGAGTTAGGTGCTCAACAAGCATTGATGTCCACAGGTGCAGTACTAAATTATTACCCCATGTAAAATTATTAGAAGTTCATAACCAGTTTCTCCCAGCTGTGCTTCTTTAAAGAAACTATTTGAAAATCCAATAAAATATATGGATCTTCATGAGAGGCACTGTTTCAAGATAAACAACTCTTGTTTTTGTTTAAAAAAAAACAAAAACCCTCTACTTACCTTTTTGTTCTTTTGTTTGAGTACATTAAGTAATCGAGTGTTTTCAGTTTATGTTCCAGTACAACAATTTATCCACAAATGGTTCCGTGACATTTACTACAAACTTCACAATGTGTGAAGATTCTCATTATTTCCATTCTGGTTGTTCTGTTTCCATGAGTCTAGTTTCCCTGTCCTCTTACTATCTCATCTTTGTTTTAAAGTCATTGTTGACTAGGTATTTTTTTGTTTTCCTTTGCTTTTTCCTGTTTTTATTTGCTTTTAACTTGAATTGTGGATTGAATGAATCTTATAGAGATCATCAGTTTTACATTCAACAAATCACACACTTCATTTCAACTCAATGATTCCAGTCTCCATGCACCAACAGGGATCCCATTCCACTTCTATCCTGTGGTGCCTATTTTCATTTCACAATCCTTCTGAACTTTGTCTTTAGGCAAATGTTACCCTTTTGACCTTGAATGCTTGACTATTCCATACCTTTCTAGTGTTGTTGCTTCTATATACCTGGCTACCAATTGGCTAGAAATTGGGCCAATCAGGCGATTTCTCTTCAGGCCTGAAGGGTGCCCAAGGGTCATATTCTAGGGTTCCTCCAGTCTCAATAAGCCTCCTTTTTTGTTGTTGTTGTTGTTGAAATTTTTGAGTTTTGTTACACATTTTCTGTCACTCTATCTGGGACCTTCTAGTGTGATCACTTTCAGAGCACTTGTACACCATCTAGTTCTTAATGGTCTCAGAGCTGTGTTGACTGATGTTCGTCTGTCCATTGGTCTAGTTGATTGCAAGGCTCTTCAATTTTCATCACTCTTTTTCTGCACATGGAAAGAATAGTAGTTGAACCTCAGATGGCTACTCATTTAAGGTCCCAGGCACCAGTCACCACAGTAGGATGTGTAGAACATTGTCTTGTTTGTAGATTGTTACCACAGTTGACCATGGTGTCTGCTGAGACTGTGGTCCTGCGCCCTCATGCCCAGCAACACAGTGATATTTGAAATTATCCAAGAAGTTTTCAAGGAGCTCTGGTAGCGTAGTGGTTACAAATCAGTCTGTGATCCTCAAGGTCAGCAGTTCGAAACTACCAGCTGTTCCGTGGGAGAAAGATGAGACTTTCTGCTCCCATAAAGATTTCTAGCCTCAGAAACCCTGTACAGGGTTGCTATGAGTCGGAATTGACTCCACAGCACATAACAACCACCATCAAAACGTTGTCATCATTTTACCCCCTTGTGTGTTCCTGGTGTGAAGAGTCCTGGTGTGGTGCTGTGGGATAAAGTACTGGATTTCCAGGTCAGTTTGAACCACGAGGTCTGCAGTTCAAACTCACCAGCTGTTCTTTGGAAACCCTATACAGGGTCACTATGAGTAGGGACTGACTCAAAGGCACTTAACAACAACCTGTTCCTAGTGTGGTGCTGTAGGATTAAGCACTGGACTACCAACCACAAGGTCGGTGATTCAAACACACCAGTCACTTCTTGGAAACCCTATACAGGGTCCCTATGAATCAGAACCAATTCAGTGTCACTAAGCAAAAAAAAAAAGGCACCACATTCATGATTGTGTTTGCAGCAAAGGTCAGTGTTTGTTGTTAAGTGCCTTTGAGTCGGTTCTGACCCATAGTGACCCTATGGGATTTCCGAGGAACAGCTTGTGAGCTTGAATTGCCGACCTTGCAGTTCAAACCAACTTTGTAGTCCAGCGCATTAACCTACTGCACCACACCAGGACTCCTATGTATAAATATCCTCTTCAAACCCTTAGATATTTGTGAATATACTCCCGTTGTCCCTCCCTGACCCATTTGGCCTTTGTATCCATCCATACATTCATGTGGAGTCCTGGTGTGGTACCAACTCAGTGGCACATAACAACAACTACCCACAGAACTTTATTTACCTCTATACCCTTTAGCTGTTGTATACATCCCCATATTGGCATCTGTCTTACCATTCTTCTGCCAAACTCCCTCTTGTATATTATCCTGCTGTGGCACAGTAGGGTGTAAGCACTGGAATGCAAGGTCAGTTTGAACTGTAAGGTCACTTGTTGAAATTCACCCAGGGATCCTTGGAAACCATATACAGGGTCCTTAAGAGTCAAAACAAGATTCCCACTGCATTTAACAACATCATCACCTAAGCTAGCATGTGTCTGTCTACTGTCTAGCCAGTGACTCACTCTGCCTTCCTCCCACCACTGGCAGCCGTGAGAATATTTCTTCTAGCATGAAAAACTTTTGGAGTCTTTACATTGGTCTCATACAATATTTGCCCTTTTGTGATTGACTCATTTCACTAAGCATAATGTCCTCCAGGTTATGAGGTGTTTCGCAGACTCATGGTTTGTTCTTCAGTGTTGCGTAACATTCCACTCTGTGTTTGTACCAAAATGTGTTTGTTTATTCTTCCATTGATGGGCATTCAGGCTGTCTTCCATTTTTTTGTTGTTGTGAACTGTGCTGTAATGGACATTGGTGTGCAAATATCTACTTGTGGATTGGCTCTTACTTCTTGTGGCTATATGCTAAATAGAGGGATTGCTAGGTCATATGGTGTTTCTGCTAACAAACTTTTGAGGATGCGCCATACTGTTTTCCACAGTGGTTGAACCATTTTACAATCCTTCCAGCATCCGAGGAGGGTCACACAGCTCTTTTTTTTTTATTATTTCAAAGCACATAATACAGGTGTTATTCTGTACTTTGTGAGCCATTCTATTCAGTTAAAAGGTGCCTCGGGGGCAAAAGCCCCCATACTTTTAAGAAATGTCATTAACCAAAGAACAGGTTGAGACAAACAGAATTTGTTAATTTTACTTTTTAAAGTATTAATTTTATTTAAAAGAGTGACAAGCTATTCCTGGTTCTCCTCCACCTCCCTCCTATTTTTTTTTTGGTGGTAAATTATGCATAGCAATTTACTGTTTACACACAGCCTTTTAAACAAACACAAAAGTTGCTAGTTTAAGTTACTGGTAGACCAAAATTTACTTTCTCGATGCTGTAAACATTTCTGCAGAAAATATCCTCTGACCAAAAAATATCTTTGTAAATTTGATAAGATTTTGGTTTGTGGTTGCTGGGTCTCTGGTAGGCCTAGATTCCTTTGTCCTTGAGACCCCGGGGGTTCATTGACATTGTTGCTGTTAAAGTGCCAGTAAGTCAATTCTAACTCACCAATTCTGTATAGGGTTAATGAGCAACTGGTGGGTTTGAACCACCAACCTTAATGGTTAGCAGTCCAGTGCTTATTCTTCATGGCCACATTGGGGAGGGAGTGTGTACCTAATAGGATGGTAGGGAGATGTGGGACTATCCACTCAGCTCTTTATACCCAGGTTAGATCCTGGTTCCTGAGATAAAGGCTTGCACTGTTACATGCTGTCAAGCCCATTCCAACTTGCCCCATTTTTAGTTAAGTCCTACTGCAGCACTGTAGGATTAGCACTGGATCCAGAGGGTTAGTTTAAGCAACAAGGTCAGTGGTTCAAACCCACCAGCCATTTCTCAGAAACCCTATACAGGGTTGCTATGAGTTGGAACTGACTCAGCACTTAACAACTACAAGGCACCATATAGCAAACATCCAAGAACCAGGGCCTTTTGCCCAGAATAGGATTGTGTTTGACTTTGCATATTTAATGATATTAGTTGTCACAGTCCTGGAAATTGCAAATGGGGGTGACTGTGAATTCCATCATTTCCATTTTGTTTCCAGTCCTTTGTTTCTCTCTCTGCCTGAGTGAGTTTTCCTTTTCATCTCCTAACCATTGAGGTGTTTCTCTGGGTTATTCATAAAAAATCTAGGTCAGGGAAATCTGATTCTCTACGGTTATGCCTTCCTTAGATATCTGATCTTATGATTTCCCATATATGGGGTATTCCTTATTCCAGGAACAAGGTTTTGTTTCTGTGTTTTGCAGATACCCCTATCTAAATTTATACAGTGTACTTTAGTCTCTGCATTTCAAGTGTTTTTTGATTTTTTTTTTTAGTATTCTCATCATGGTTTGATTAGGAGTTACAGTAGTATCGTAGCTAAGTGTTGGATTACTAACAAAAAGTTGGTGGTTTGACCTCAGTAGAGAGATGTGGCAAATCTGTGTCCATGAATGTTACAGCCTTAAATATCCTATGGGGCAGTTAGACTCTGTCTTAAAGCATTGTTAGGAGATTTGTTGTTGTTGTTGTTAAGTGCCATCGAGTCAGTTCCGACCCATAGCGACCCTGTAAAGGGTTTCCGAGGGTGTAAATCTTTATGGGAGTAGAAAGCCTTATCTTTCTCCCGCGGAGCGGCTGGTAGTTTCGAACCGCTGACCTTAAGGTTCGCAGCCCGAGTCGTAACCACTACGCTACCAGAGCTCCTTAGGAGATTTAACCAACTTAATAACAGCATGGTTTGATAGTTGAACTCTTGGTTTCTAATGTCATTTTCCTTGACTGTATGAAATCTACTTCCCTATTCAAGCCACTTTTAACTAGGACTCAGTGTTTGAATAAAAGATGGTGCCAATACCTGGTTTGTTGAGTGAGTGAGTTGAATGATGAATTCTGTTACATGGTGAGTTGCTGTGGTTCTTCCAAAAGACCATCTTCGTGTCCTTTTTGGGCAGAATACTTAGCTGTCTTTCTTGTCCCAGGTGCTGTGATGAACCACCCCGGGCAGGAAGATGAAGTCAAAGGGAATGAAGCAACAGTCAAGCGGTTTCGCCGTGAGGACACCCACGTGTGTGACAAGTGCTGCGCAGAGTTCTTTAGCATCTCCGAATTCTTAGAACATAAGAAAAATTGCACTAAACACCCACCTGTGCTCATCATGAATGTCGGCGAGGGGTCGGTACCTTCTGAAGACTTCTCCGGGACTGTGCTGAGCCACCAGCCACTTAGTCCAAGCATTAAGGACAGTCACATGGAGAACAGTGGCAGTTCAGGGGACCTGAAAGAGAAGCCGAGGTCGGAGTCTGTAGTTTACATAAAGACAGAGACCGCCTTGCCACCCACTCCGCAGGACATAAGCTACTTACCCAAAGGCAAAGTCGCCAACACTAATGTGACTTTACAAGCACTACGGGGCACCAAAGTGGCAGTGAATCAACGGAGTGCGGAAACACTGCCGGCCCCCCTGCCCGGTGCCAACAGTATCCCGTGGGTCCTCGAACAGATCCTGTGTCTGCAACAGCAACAGCTCCAGCAGATTCAACTCATGGAGCAGATCCGCATCCAGGTGAACATGTGGGCCTCCCACGCCCTCCACTCTGGTGTGGGGGGCACCGACACCCTGAAGACGTTAGGCAGCCACGTGTCCCAGCAAGTTTCTGCCGCTGTGGCTTTGCTCAGCCAGAAAGCTGGAGGTCAGCCTCTGTCTCTGGATTCTTTGAAACAAGCCAAGCTACCTCACGCCAACGTGCCATCCACCACCAGCTCAGTCCCCCAGGCACTCACACCCTTTGCCCTGAAGCCCGATGGCACGAGGGGGCTCCCCAACGTCATGTCACGCCTTCCAAGTGCTTTGCTACCTCAGGCTTCAGGCTCTGTGCTCTTCCCGAGCCCTTTCTCCACGGTGGCATTGGACCCGTCCAAGAAAGGGAAAGGGAAGCCACCAAACATCTCTGCAGTGGATATCAAACCTAAAGACGAGGCTATCCTCTACAAACACAAGTGTAAGTACTGTAGCAAGGTTTTTGGGACCGATAGCTCCTTGCAGATCCACCTGCGCTCCCATACTGGAGAGAGACCCTTCGTGTGCTCAGTCTGTGGCCATCGGTTCACCACCAAGGGCAACCTCAAGGTGCACTTTCATCGACACCCCCAGGTGAAGGCAAACCCCCAACTATTTGCTGAGTTCCAGGATAAAATGGCTTCAGGCAATGGGATTCCCTATGCAGTCCCTGTCCTTGTAGATGAATCCAACGACTCCCTAGACAGCAAACCTATCCTTGTACCAGGGACCCCCTCTGCAGGGCTACCTCAAACTCTGTCTTCAGGGAGTAACCCCAAGGACCTCGTGGGCGGCCCATTGCCCATTGACTTACAGCCTGGACCTTCTCCAGAAAGTGAGGGTGGAACCACACTCTCTGGGGTAGGACCCAACCATAATTCCCCTAGGGTTGGTGGCTTCCCAGGGAGCGGGACTCCCGAGTCAGGGTCAGAGACCCTGAAATTGCAACAGTTGGTGGAGAATATCGACAAGGCCACCTCCGATCCCAATGAATGTCTCATTTGCCACCGTGTCTTAAGTTGCCAAAGTTCCCTCAAAATGCATTATCGCACCCACACTGGGGAGAGACCCTTCCAGTGTAAGATCTGTGGTCGAGCCTTCTCCACCAAAGGCAATCTGAAGACACACCTTGGGGTTCACCGAACCAACACAGCGATCAAGACACAGCATTCCTGTCCCATCTGCCAGAAGAAATTTACCAATGCCGTCATGTTGCAGCAACATATCCGAATGCACATGGGCGGTCAGATTCCCAACACACCTCTGCCTGAGAACCCATGTGACTTTTCAGGTACCGAGCCAATGGTGGTCGGTGACAATGGCAGCACCAGTGCCATTTGCCTGGATGACATGGAAAGCATTGATGTAGATGAAGTCAGCTCTCAGGATGCTCCCAGTAGTTCATCCAAGTTCGCCATGTCTCTTCCCAAAATTCACTCATCATCACCAACACTAGGGTTCTCCATGATAGCTGCCCTAGATGCCCCAGGGAAAGTGGGTCATGGTCCACTTGGCCTGCAGCGGCAGAGCAGCCGGGAGAACAGCTCAGTGGAGAGCGATGGCCTGACCAATGACTCCTCTTCCATGATGGAAGACCAGGAATACCAGAGCCGAAGTCCCGAAGCTGTAGAAACCATATCCTTACAAGCACTCTCTCCGGCCAACAGCCAAGCAGAAAGTCTTAAGTCCAAGTCTCCTGATGCTTCTGGCAAAGCCGAGGGTGCCGAGAACAGCCGCACCGAGACGGAAGGTGATGGAACTTTGGATTTACCTTATGTCCATTGTGGCCACAAGGTCACCCGAGGAGGAACCCCCTGGGTTGAACTTTACAGAGTCTGATATTTGTGGTTATTCGAGGGGGAATTAGTCTTGGCTTTGCTTCGGGGTAAAGGGATATAATACAGTAAAACCTGCGAGAGGCAGAACAAGATTCTCCTGTCAGAGCAGGAGAGTGATTGATAGAAAATCGGTGACTATGCTGTCCTGTCAAAGACAGAGAGCTGTCAAGACTTGGAAAAACTTAGCAGTCCTGGCGACTTCCAACTCTCAACTCTCGCAGGTTTCATGTTAATTACCCCTACTCCCTTATGCAAAAGCATGCTTTTATCTATAATAAATTGCATACTGCTGCTTGCCCATGGAAATAAGCCATAGTTCTTTAATTTCAAGATCCCACTACTAAGACTGGTAACTTAGGGTTCACAAATTAAAGTTCTTGTGGGGGAAAAGAATCTAACCCCTTTTAAATGTACACGCCCATTGTTGGGATGTCCCAGATGTCATTCATAGTGAAGTGGAGGTGGGGTGGGGGCATCGCTGCATCTTAGAATCACAGAATGATGGGATCTGGGCACACGTCAAAGCTAAACTGTCTTCTGCTGCCCTATTGCCCAAAGGTTTCTAAGTGTTTCAGTCCTCCTTTGTGCAGAAAAGCTGCTTTGGTGTAAATTTAATTTCCTGTCGGCCATTTTCAGGCTGTCAAACTCTAGTGGACAGTTGTTGCAAAAGCTTTTTTCGGCTTGAAGAATGGATGATAATGGTTTGGGTTTTTTGGTTTTCTGTTTTTTTCCTTTTGTGCATGCCTAGGTCGGAGCAGTCTCCCACCAACGTTTATCCGGACCCAACCAAGCTATGTCAAAGTTGAAGTTCCTGGTGCGTATGTTGGACCCTCGACCCTGTCCCCGGGCATGACACCCTTGCTAGCGGTCCAACCACGCCGGCAATCCAAGCACCATGGCTGCACACGCTGCGGCAAGAATTTCTCATCCGCCAGTGCGCTTCAGATTCATGAGCGCACGCACACCGGGGAGAAGCCTTTCGTGTGCAACATATGTGGGCGTGCTTTTACCACCAAAGGCAACTTGAAGGTGCGTTTCTTAAGGCTTTCAGCAGGGCAGGGTGTCAGGACCCCTTCAGGGGTGTTCCCGTGATGAACACATCCACGAAGACTCGGCAGAGTGTAGAATGAAACTTCAGGGCGCTGGTGCTTGAAACTTGTTTTCTTCTTGATTATGAATTGGGTGGGTGAAGGTTTACAGAGCAAATCAGTGTTCGGGTGAGCAACTCGTGCACGTTTTTCCCATCTTGTTGATTATAATCCCCTCAATGTGGTAACATCACAGATCCCACTTCCTCCTTGTTCTTCCTGTTTCTATTCCATCTCCGTTCCTAGCCTTTCTGAGCTTTGTCATGTGGGTGAATGCTGCCCATTTAAGATCACAAGTGGTTGGTTATTCTAAGGTGTGTGTATTCTCTTGTGTTATTGCTTCTCTTAACAGACCTATTATTTGCCTGAAAACTGACCTGTGAGCGTGAGTTCATTTCCAGACTTAAAGGGTCTCGGGTACCACCAGTCTCCACTCACCAACAATGACCGTTTTTTTTTTTTTGGAAAAAAAGGGGAATTCAAAATTTGGCGGGGTTAAAGAAAGTTGAACTTTCTTTCATTTTTCCACAAACGTTTTGAAGCGCCCTCACATTTTCTTTGAAGTTGAGATGCTTCGTACAACCTATGGAATGACAAAGCATTGTGTCTGGCTTGACTGTGTGGATTTTTGTTGTTGTTGTTTTTAACCTAATTATTATGGTTGTTGTTAAAGTGGTGTCTTACTGGTTCTGACTCAAAACGATCCTGTATAGCGTTTGTGAAGAGTTACTTGGATTTGAACCACTGACCCTGTGGTTAGGAGTCCAGTGCTTTATCCTACAGCACCACAGGGCTTTGCTTTGTGTTACGTGCCATCGTGTTGGTTCAGACTCATAGACTCTGGAGTGTTTCAGAAGCATTTAATCTTTAAGGGAGCAGAAAGCCTCATCCTGCTGACATGGTTAGTGGCTCCAATGTGTAATCACTCTGCCACCACCTCCTCATAAAATAATGATACATCTTAAGAATGATGCAGTCTACAGAGCAGAGCCTCTGGTTTCCCTCTGCTACGGTTTCTTAGGGACTCCGCCCTGAGTAATCAGTCCTCCATGTTGGTACAAGACATGGGTTCTAAAAACTGTTATTGTTGTTATGTTAGGTGCTATAAGTTGTTTCCAAGTCATAGCAAACGTAAGTGCTTGGCACCTGTACCATCCTCACACCCCTTAGTGTGTGTGAGCCCGTTTTTGCTGTGTGATTCCAGCTCATTAAGGATCTTCTACTTTGCCAAGCTTAGTGTTTTCTCCAGGAACTAGATACTATGACACAAAATCTGAAAACATGTGGTTTTGTTTGTGTTTGTGTGTTCAATGTTGTAGTGTAGGACTAAAGAATAATTTATTGATAGAGTTTATACCTTCAGACTTGGTGTCAGCCTGATACAGGCATATCTGAGATGTATGTTGTAGCAGGATCACCCCCAGAACCACCACCATTGAGGGAATATTGCAATTAAGCAAGTCACAAATTTTTTGGTGTCCCAGTGTGTGTAAGTTATGTTTTCACTACGTTGTAGAAGTCTTGGTGTGATGCTGGGGGATAAGCACTAGACTGCTAACAGCATGGTCGTCAATTCATACCTACCAACTGCTCCTCAGAAACCCTACACAGGCTCATTATGAGTCGGAACCAACTCAAGTGGCATTTAAACAACATATACTGTGTAGTGTGTTGAGTGTGAAATAGCTTTAGAAAAAGTAAAATTATGAAATATTGTGAGAACGGCCAAAATGTGGCAGAGACCAAGTGACCATAGGCTATTGAGAGGTATCTGTAGACTTACTCAACCCAGTGTACTCACAGACCTTCAATCTGCAGAGCCGCGCCACGCAGTCCAGTGGGGGAGCATAACACAACAAGGCATACATACCTGTGTTTGAGCCCTGGTGTGGCGCTGTGGGTTAACGCACTAGACTGCAAAGTCTGTTTGAACTGCATAGTAAGCAGTTCAAGCTCACCAGCCACTTCTTGGAAACCCTACACAGGTCACTGTGAGTCAGAGCTGACTCAGTGACACTTAGTAACAATATACCTGTATGTTGACTTTGGTTTTCCTGGTCTGCTAAGTTGAAATAAATACCATGTGTTAAATTTATGATCCAATACCACTGAGTTCTTTTTTAAAAAAAAAAAAAACACAAAACTTCCAGGTTACTTGGCAGATGTTTACAAATGCACTGATTGACTCCAATACCGTTCACCAAAGGGAGCCCATACCTACAAGGACTGCCTTCTTTCTCCAGGTCTGTCCCGGTCATTGTTGATGTAGTTGTTAAGTACAGTCGAGATAGTTCCAATCCATAGCGACCCTGTCTGTATAGCGTTTCCAAGGAGCTACTGGTGAACTTGAACAGACGGCTTTACAGTCCAGCACTAACCCACAGCACCACACCAGGACTCCACGTCCCTGTCATTGGCAGAGTACAATCACCACTTTTGCTCACTCTTTAGTGGAAAAGATTGGCATTTTCCTTCTCTAAAGTTCCGCCTTCCTTACACAATAGCAGTTTTTGTAGGTGTTAGTGTATATGGGTTATAACTTGGATTCCCCCTAAGATTTTGTTTGAGAAAGGTAGAGGGAATGGACCTGGAGGTGAGGGAAGACGGGAAGGTTCAAGCTTCGAATATAAAAACACTGGAAGGAAAGAGAGGAACCTGGGTTTTCATCTTAACCCTGTCTCTGGTTTGCTTTGTGACCCTGGATGAAGGCTCAGGCCCTCTCTGAAACTTTCTCCATCTCCAAATGGGAGAACTCAAAGAATTCTCAAGTGGCTTGTATACCTTGTTTGACCTTACTTTTCTTCCTCATCCACAACACGAGCTCTGAGGATTGTGCACTGTGGTGAAGCACACGTGGCTGCTAACTAAAAGGCTGACGGTTCAAACCTACCAGGGGCTCTGTGAGAAACAAAGACTTGGGAATCTTAACAAGATGTTGTTGTTATGTGCTGTCAAATCGGTGCCAACCTATAGTACAGGGTTCCCAAGGCTGTAAATATTTACGGGAACAGAAAGCCTCATCTTTCTCCCGCAGAGCAGCTGGTGGTTTTGAACTGCTGACCTTAAGGTTCACAGCCCAATTAAGAGCCCAGAAAACCTCATGGGGACAATTCTCCTCTGGCAGGGTCATTATGGCTCAACAGCACACAAGACCATGCAGCTAATGGCAAACAGTAACCTAAAGATTGTCTTAGAGGTGAAAGAGTTGTGTTCCTGAAAAGTTTTGAGTCATAGTTGTACCTCCCATTAAGTCTTAGTATTATTAGAGCAGTTAACAGTGTGGGACAGTGATGATCAGCAAGGCACTTCTATTTGAGCCTAATGGAACAGTAGCTACTAACTTCCCAAAGATGTCAGTGAAGGTGAAATGGAGACACACCGGAAGCCCCATATATCAGACATTTTTAAGTAAGAACCTGAAAAGTTGAAAACTGGCCACCAGACAGGAAAGATAATGGAGGAACGAAGCAGCGAAATAGGTGGTTGATCTCGTCCACCGTCTGTATTTGTGATGCACCCACTCGCTTCACCAGGATTTATTTGTAACCCCAGAACAGGTGCTTGTGGTACTTGACCAAACTGAGGGCAGAAACAAGGTGACTTATCAGCCCTGTTTCAGCTCTCTTGCTGTTAAATAGTTGTTTTTTCTGTACGATGTGGAGTCCTGGTGTGGTACTGTGGGCTAATGTGTCAGACTGCAAAGTCGATTGAACTGCTGCAAGGTTCAAGTGGTTCAAGCTCACCAGCTGCTCCTTGGAAACCTTATACATGGTCGCTATGGGTCAGAATTTACTCGATGGCACTTAAAAACAACAACAACATTTAGTGCCATGGTTTCTACAAATCTGTACTTTGATTGGTGACCTTGCCATTTCAAATGGTCCCCAAGCACAGTGCTGATGTCCCATCTAGCGTTTGTAAGCACAAGAAGGTTGCTGGGTACCTTGTAGAAAAGTTCTTGTGTTGCAGAAGCTAAATTGTGTTGCAAGAGCAAAATTGTGGCTTCACTGTGCATTTTCATCAGTTTATGTCAAGCTTATGATCAGCGGCTTGCAAGACTATAACCTTACGTTTCTCCTGAGTACAGTATTTTGGTATTTGCTAATTCAGAGTTACACCTTTATATAGACCATAACTATCTGAAATAACAAGAATGGACTATTTGTATGATAAAACTCTCCAAGCAACCAAACTGATGGCAACCCTGCATAGGGTTGTAAAACTTGTTAATTCTTTATGAAGCAGAAAGCCAAGCCTATGCAGTCTCCCAAGGAGCGGCTCGTGGGTTTGAACTGCTGATCTTGCAGTTAACTACTGGTTTTATAGTTAAATAGTTCTTATTTACAGAGTTTTTAAAGCAACGAATAGTATGCTGGTGTAACAATTACACCATTTTTCCAGCTGGGGGGGTGTTGTTATTAAGTGCTGTTCAGTTGGTTCTTTGTAGGGTTTCTGAGGAGCAGAAGGTTGGTTTAAACCACCAATTTTGCAGTTCAAACTCTACTAAATAGAGGAAACCCAGTGCGCTATTCTGCAGCAGACCCTATATAGGGTTTCTGAGACTGTAAATCTTTATGGGAGCAGACTGCCTCATTCTCCAGCTGAGCAGCTGGTGGGTTTGAACTGCTGACCATACAGTTACCAGCCCAACACACCTAGTCTACAGCACAATCTGGCCTCCCAGAAAAGGCCTGGCCTTGCCTACTATTCTGTATAAAGTAGCACCCACTTCCCACCACTCTCTTGTGCCTTTTGTAACCTTCCCAACATAGTGTTCTCTGTAGTGGCTTCTTCTATCATTGATGATGTATTGCTTATTTAACTTGTACTCAACCTTGTCTTCACAGAATTTTAAGTTGGCATTTTTATTGACAATGTTGTAGATTCACATGCAGTGAGATTAAAACACAGGTCTTTGTGTACTTTGTCTACTTGTCCCCAATGGTAACATTGCAAAGCTAGCACATAATAGCTAACCTAGGTGTTGATTTCAGTCTCTCTGTCTCATTCTAACTTTTCCCCAGTTCTACTCAAGTGAAAGAAGAAAACATTCGATGTCAGTTTATTGCCTGTGTACATTTGTGTATTGTTCAAACTTTTTATAGCCCTAGTTCAGGAACTAAATGTACCTCAAGTGTGGCTACAGTGGTGAGGTTGGCCCAGGATCGGACATTGTTTCGTTCTGCTGTGCATAAGGTCACTATGAGTCGGTACCGACTCGATGACACCTAACAACAACAACCAGATGTGCCTGACATGTAGTTGGTACTTACATAATAGTTGAACACGTGAATAATGGAATTGGGACATATTGAAGAATATATACCTGACATCAGTTGTAAAACTTAGATTTAGTTTGGAGTACAGGTGTGGTGTTACTAGATCATCTGATTTTTCTAGACAACAGACACCTAGATGAAAGATACATATAAAGTCTTTATTTATTAAATAGTTGTGTTATGTGCCAGAGAGTCGGTTCCAACTCAGTGCCCCTTTATAGGGTTTTCTTGGAGTGGCTGGATTTGAACCACTGACTTTGCAGTTACCAGTTCTGTGCTTTTCATACTTTGCCACACCCCAGGACTCTTAAATAGAATAAAACCTGTAAAAGCCAGAATCTGTGTGCAGTGTAAACTGTCAGAAGGAAAACTCTTATAACTTCCACTAGTAGTTGTTGTTAAGCGCCATTGAGTCGGTTCCGACCCATAGCGACCCTGAACAGGGTTTCTGAGACTGTAAATCTTTATGGGAGCAGAAAGCCTCATCTTTCTCCCACGGAGCAGCTGGTAGTTTCGAACTGCTGACCTTGTGGTTCGCAGCCCGATTCATAACCACTACGCTACCAGAGCTCCAAGTAGTAACCACAGATGGGAATCTTGGGAGATCTTGAAAAACAGAGCTGGCCCTATCCAGTTCTGACTCTCAGGTTTCACTGTACACGTTATGTTGAAGGTTTGGGGTAGAACCAAACTCTTAAACTGACTTTAGTTTGGTTGACCAGCTTCACAACAGAATCAGTGTTGTTTTTTGTCTTAGACTTTTTATTTATTGTGAAGTGAGTGAAGGTTTACAGAGCAGCAGATCATCAGTTTTATCCTCAACAGCCTACACTGCGTTTCACCTCAGTAATTACAATCTCCTCAGTACAGCATCAGTTACCCTGCTTCCTCTTTGTGTATCTTGTTTCCATTCCTTGTGTTTCTTAACCTTCCTGAACTTTGTCCTTGAGTATAAATGCTGCCCTTTTGATTTCAAATGGCTGACCACTCTATGGCGTGTGTACCTCCCTCGTGTTCTCTCCTGTGGACTGTCTATATCGTTGTTTGACTGAAAGTTGAACCACAGAGAATGATTCCAGTTCCCGCTCTGTATGGTGACCAAGGGCCATGGTCTCAGCATTCACCAGTTGACTATCTGACCAGTAAACCTGGTCTTTATCAAACTTCTTAGTTTTATTCCACATTTTCTCTCACTGTGTTCAGCCAAAGACCTTCTGATATGATCCTTTTCAGAGCAGTTGCTAGTGGTAGCCAGGCACCCTCTAGTTCTTTCAGCTTCAGGATCATGGGGATTGGACTAATTGTTGTCAAGCATCTTTAATTTTCATCACCTTTTTATGGGCACAGGGAGAGACCAAAAGTTGCATCTTAGGTGGCCACTTAGGAGCTTTTAAGATACCAAAGTAGGTTGGTCAGCATTGTCTTTGTGGACTGTGTTATGCCAGTTGGCCAAGGTACCCCTTGAGTTACCACTCATTCCCTCAAGGTGTTTGTCCCCTGTATGCTGTACCACATTCATTGATATGTTTGCAGCAGAAGTAAATACCCATGTACAGATATCCTCTGTGGAGTTTCTTAGGCTTTGAATCTTGAATGGAGGAGAAAGCTGCCTCTTCTGTGGAGTGGCTGGCTGCCTCGACCCTTGGACCTTGTTGATTTCCTGTCTGCTCTTGCAGGATTGTGTATCTTAACTATATTTACTTCTGTTGTCTTTAGTCATTGCACTCTTCCCCATGCCTTCCCATGCCGCCATCATTCTTTTGTCAACAAATCAATATTTTGATGAAGACCTTTTTGTCCCTGTCCCAATAGGTTCACTACATGACCCACGGAGCAAACAACAACTCTGCCCGCCGTGGAAGGAAGCTGGCCATCGAGAACACCATGGCTCTATTGAGTTCCGATGGAAAGAGGGTCCCTGAAATGTTTCCCAAGGAAATCCGGGCCCCTGCCATGAACGTGGACCCTGTCGTGTGGAATCAGTATACTGCCATGCTCAATGGTGGGCTGGCCCTGAAGACTAATGAAATTTCGGTGATCCAGAGTGGTGGTATCCCTCCCCTCCCGGTGTCCCTGGGGACCAGCTCGGTTGGGAATAACAGTACCTCATCCAAGGTGGATGGCTCCCATTCCGGTATCAGTGCCGATGTGGAGAAACCAAGTACTACCACTGACAGTGTCCCCAAGCCCCAGTTCCCACGCTTCTTAGAAGAAAACAAGATTGCGGTCAGCTAGGATAGCTGAAGTCGCTGAAGGAAACCATGCAGACAAAGGGAAATCACTAGAATCTGTCCCCCCTCGGCTGCACCCCACTTTTTCTTTTTTTGATAATGAACCCAGCTGATCTCCTGTTGACTTGTTTTTTTTTTTTTCTTTTAACTTCTTCCTGATGTGCAAATGATGCTTACTGTCGACCGTGACCTTGGGCTGTCCTACAATCACAATGTTCCTATGCTGCTTTGCAGAAAAGAAAACCAAAAAAAAAAAAAAAAAAAAATTCATACCCAAACCTATCCAGACTAGTATTTTTGTTTTGTTTGTTTTCATTTTGGAAAGAAGCGGGTCTTGCAAAGTAGCTTTGTTACTTGTGACAAACTTTGTACATAGAACCTTTTGTACAACCTAGAGCAACTATTTCCAAAGACCACTGCCGTTTTCAAGGTGGAACACCTCGAACTCTCAAACCAGTGGAAAAGACACCTAGTTGGCCCAGACTGGGAGGGGTGTGGGGGGTGGGAGATACTGTGCCCTTACATAACTGTTTATGCGGGTAAATGGACAAGATTTGTCAGCTTGTCTTAAAAACCGGTTTTGTATTTGCCTCCTAATCCTGACTCCCATCTTGCTGTTTATTTTTTGAATGTACTATTTCCCCTTTAAAAATTAAGGTTGTAGAATGAGAAAATTCCTCCAACCTTAGAACCTTAGATGGACTGATCTTGTCTTGAGGGAATCTGTGTGTGTTGCTGCTTATTTAAATATGGTTCATTTAGAGCCCAAAAGAGTGCCATGTACTCCCCACGTATCCCGGATGTCTCCCATCTTCCTGAATACCAGGACAGGTGGGGAATCTGTGCAGGGGATCTCAGGTGATTTCATTTAGCTCGCCAGTGCCTACTCTGGAGAACCAGGTTTTCATTGTTGGAGAAGCTCTCTTTGGAAGGCCTATTTCTTATCACAGGTTCACGTAGTCTTTTTTGTTGTTAATTTCCTTGGTAAATGATGCCTAGTAATTATGAAGATCCCTCCACCACCCCCAATCCCCCGAGTATTGCATGAAGGCTGCAAAGTTAGAACAGGCAAGTCCTGGGTATGAAAGCTTTAATTTATCTACCTCATTTATGTTTTATTTTTGTAGCCATAGTCTTTATTTTCCTATTTTTATGACTACCAACTGTTTCCAGAGCCTGTCTTAAACGAATGGACATGTTCGTTGGAACCATGGACATTGGATGTTTTTGTTGGTTTTTTTTTTTAATCCCTTTTTGTACATGTTACAATATTAAGTAAATGGTGAAACATTGCTCTGGTGGTTTAAAGAGGAAGAGGGAGAAAGAAAGACTAACCCCAAACTTCTGGGTTGAGAATTCTTTCCCCTGGATGTGGAAGGGCCCACAAATTGAAATGTGCATCAAGACTGTTATTAACAAATGTTTATCACTCTCGGTATTGCACCTGACTTTTTTAGGATCCAAAAAAAAGTATTTTGTTTTTGCCAAGTTGTGCCTTTCCTTCTGGAATTGTAAGTGACCACAATAGTAGTACCTGTTTACACTGAAGGGGATACTGTTACAAAGAACACACCGAAGGCTGTCAAGCTTACTAAAGCCTTGTGAATGAATGTATGACCTCAAGAGAAACCCTGTAATTGTACCTGCTGAGGCTGGCTGTCTTTCGGAGAATAAATCTGGATTTGTTTTTTCTTCTCCTAAGGCCTCTTGTCAGTTTTTCTGGTAGTAGAAAATCAGAATTTAACCATCATTCTCAGCCACCCTTCAGTGCACATCTGCACCTCCCCCACTTCACAAACATACAGAAACAACCCTGTCTGCTGCCTGATATCTTTGTTTTTAAAGCACGGCTTGTTTGTGCCATAAAGTTGGTTTGGACTCTGTTTCCTGTATAGGGTTTCCAAGAAGCAGACAGTGAGTTTGAACTGCTGACCTTGTGCTTCAAGCTAATCATATGATTGAGTGCTTTTAGCGGTGGGGAACCTTTTTGCTGCCAAAATGTATAACCTCATTCATTGGCCATACAAAATTTGTTAAGTGCCATCGAGTCGGTTCCGACTCATAGCAACCCTGAACCGGGTTTCTGAGGCTGTAAATCTTTACGGGAGCAGAAATCCTCATCTTTCTCCCACGGAGCAGCTGGTAGTTTCGAACTGCTGACCTTGTGGTTCGCAGTCCAATTCATAACCACTACACTACCATACAAAATTACCAGCTTAAAAATCAGCTTGCTATATTTTTGTCAAACATTTAATTATGTGGAGGCTTGGCTGGAGTCCTGTGGTGTGCTACAGGATAATGCACTGGACCTCAAGGTTGGTTTGAATCACTAGGTAGGCTGCTCAAACTTAACAGCTGCTGGGAAACCCTATCCAGGGTCTCTGTGAGTCAGAACCAACAACAGTGTGTGATGGCTTAGAACTGATATTGCCTTGGCAGGGCCAAACCAAAGCATTTCACAGGCTTTATGAGGCTTGCAGGTGGGAGAATCCCCACTCCCATTTTAAAGGAATGGAATTATAGAAATTTGGTTCTGCAAGGGATAGTGGGAGCTCTCCTGTGTGCAAAGCCCAGGGTTGACAATTCATGGTCAGCTATGACCTATTACATGTTTGGTATGGGGCTGTAGGATAAGTACTGAACTGTCAACCACAAGGTTGGTGGTTCAAACCCACCAGCTATTCCTTGGGAACCCTATACAGGGCCGCTGAGTCAGAATCAAAGACATTTCACAACAAAATGTTGAGCAGGTTTGGTGATGTGCTGAAAAACCAAAGAACCCAACAGACTGTGACTTTGATCTACAACCAACCATGACACAGGTCCAGACTGGTTTTTGTTTTTTTAATTTAAGGTTTTTATTGTGGATTGAGTGAAAGTTTACAGGGCACATCATCAGTTTCACATTCAACAATTCATATAACTTGTTTCGTTACA